AAGTAGTGCTGAGGCTGAATTCAGGGCATTATCTCATGGTATTTGTGAGATAATGTGGCTGAAACTCCTTCTCCAAGAACTCAAGATCAGGTTTGATAATTCAATGGAAGTCTATTGTGACAACAAGGCTGCAATTGCTATTGCACACAATCCAGTGCATCATGATCGTACTAAACATGTTGAGGTTGACAGGCATTTTATCAAGGAGAAGATTGAAGAGAAAATTATAAATCTGATGTATGTTCCATCATCAGATCAAGTTGCAGATATCCTGACAAAAGGACTCTTGAGACCCGTATTTGAAAGGTAGTTGATCAARCTGAAACTGTTCAATCTGTATAGTCCAGCTTGAGGGGGAGTGTTGAATTAGTTAGAAGTTAAGATTACGTGGACTTAGTTAGAAGTTGTTTTAAAGTTGTTTAGATTTTGTGTTTAAATTTAGCAAATAAATCTCCTTTTTTGTTAGGGAAGTTAGGAGGTTATTCCTAGATTTTGTTTCCTCTTGTAACCTATAAATAGTGCCTCTATTCCTCATCTTTGAGAATTTATTTCTTCTCTCTTTTCTCGTGTATGTCTCTCTGGTGTCTCTATCCTTAGTTTTTATATTACCATCAATGAAATTGTTTCTTTCACTAAAAAAAATATTTTGTTTTTAACAAGAAACAAACTCATATTCATAGTTGAAAAAAATGTGAAAAACAGCTCAATAAACCCGCCAAAAAAGATATATAGTGCGTCACAGAAACTAAAAGTTAAACAAACTCATTCTAGACTTAAAAAGGCAAGCCAACTTCGAAACTTCCAAATAGCATCATTGAAGCTTAAAAAACTGATGCAGAACTCAAGCTTTTCCAATTCAAACCAAATCTTCAAAACGGAAGGAAGCCCATTGTCATACCAGGCTGCCTAATCAGCCAGTATGCACTTGGTCTTAGACAAGCCATGATAATTAGCATGCATTTTTAGTAATGCTGCAATTTGCATTCAAGTTCTTTTTTACCACAGCATCAACGTGAATCCCCTACATGGACTGTATTCCTTGTAATGATTATATATACCAGATAACTCATGAAAAGTTACARTTGCAACAGTTTGAATATCACATATCCTCTCGTTGCTGCCAATTGAATATTGAATATTTTCGACTGGTAAYAATTGAGAAAATATCTACAGATACTCATTGAAAAATTAAACGTAATTCGAAAAATCGTTTACCATTTAACAGCTCTTAAAACTATCTCTTATCTATGCATGCAGCCAATAATGACCTATATTGCATAAGAGAGTATCTGAACCTGAGATATCGCTGATATGATTTGGATCCTGGGCTTTCAATTAAATAGAGATAGGGCCCTACTAGACAACAGTATTGTCGTTGCCAAACAGCTTCCCTGTTTCCAACACCCTATTACACAGGATGGGAAAGAATGAAAGAGATAGAAGATTGATAAATATATGAGCTAAAAATTTGAAGAAACACCCAGCTCAAGAGTTCGAAAGCACAACCTTCCTMATAAGAACAGATAGCCACCCCTCAAAGTCTGCTTGATTCCACGGTTGAAGGTAATCTGAATTTGTACTATCCTCCTGAAAGATCTTCAGAATTTTTAACAGTCGGTGATACCTTGCTGGAGAAAAGTGAAACCCCAAAGATGGCAATCGTACTGCAAGTCTTGTTGAAGGGTAAGAAGGATTCTCCGACCTAATCTGTATGTAATAAAACAGGTCAATTTTAAAGTTCAAATATGCTTTCAAAAAAGCACATAAGAAGTAATGTGATGTAATTACCAGCCCGTTAGTTTTATTAGTTTATTAGTTGAAGGATGAAGTTAGTTGGTTAGCTATTATTTTATTGGTTAGTTAGCTGTTATTAGTTAGTTCTTGTTAAATGTCAGCAGCCTTCTTCTATAAAAGGGGCAGTGTTCTCCTGATGTGGTTGGATTGGATCTTCATTAATACAACTTTCTCTAATCTTGTTTTACACCAAATTGGTATTAGAACACCAAGATTCTTCGGCTGCAAAAACTCACGGCAAGCAAGAAAGCCCCCACTCCTGCCATAGGAGACTCTTATCTTGCCAAAAAAGAGGCGAATCAACTCAATGCCCTCTCACCACGAACCACAACCTGACGAGAACCGCAACCTGACGCTTGCTGTCGGTTGGAGAAGTATTCAACAATATCCATAGGAATGTAGGTGGGATGCGACAAATGATAAGCATGATCACATAACAACTAAAAGCCTTAAGCTTACAACAAAATCAATGGTATGTTCAACAAAGAATATGGAAAGAACCAAGATTCATTCAACAAGAATTCAATCGAAATCCCATATTTCAGAAAATAATCGAGTTGGATTCAGATTCAAGCAAAGAAGGAATCAATTATGAAGGTCGGTCTTTAATCAAGAACCAATACCACACAAAATTTCGGCAACCAGAAGGTTCAAGCAAATCTTGGAGTTTGTATGAATTTCACCAAATTAGTTTCATACAAGAATGAGATATTTTGCCACCAAACTCAAAACAATGGCCCATAAAATTTTTCTTTCTTCTTGTACAAAACTCCCAACAACAACTGGAGAATWAAAAACCAGGCCATACCTTAACCAAGATGGAAAATTTTGCCAGCAAGAGAGTGAAGACACTTCAAATGATTGCATAAGACCAACAAAAGTTTCAGAGTATGCAAGAGGTGACTCAAATTTGCTTCAAGTTGATGTCTTCGTTGTTGATTTGAGAAATTACGGAATCCAAAACTCTTCTCAAATTAAGGCAATTGAACAAGAAGATAAGTTTTTTTCTCAAGTTTGAATTATTTTAATGAGGAAGATGAAGTTTCAAAAAAGAAATATCCATGAAAAAATCGAAACTTTCTTTGGAGTTGGAGCCCGCCATGTTYGCCCACTTCAAAGTCTTCACCTTTAGATAACAAAACAAGTGTTCGCCCTTTAGGTCGCCAAACTACAACGAGAGTTTCGCCCTTCTCATTTTTTGGAATGTCCCTTGGGTATTCTTTATCATCTCCCGATTTTTTTATATCGATATATCTCCCATTCTGGCGAGTCGTAATAAGTCGTTGGTTGAAGGTTTGGGCCAATCGCAATTCATCACCATCTTGCCCGAAAGCAAGCACTAAATAAGGCAGCTACCTTATGTAATGTAAAAAACAAAAAACAAAAACAAAAAACAAAAAACAAAAAACAAAAAACAAAAAAACAAAAAAACAAAAAAACAAAAAGAAACAAAAAACAAAAAACGAACAAGGTCTTACGACGCAACCGTTTCAAATGCATATCCCATTTTTGCACAACAGGGTTACGAAAATCCACAAGAAGCAACCAGCAGTATTGTTTGCGCCAACTACGATTTAGCTAATAAGCGCATATGACCCTCATAAAGGAAGTACCAATGAAGAGGCTCCCGGATCAAATGCCTTTCTGAACCCTCCAATAGGAGCTAGTTGATAGGTCACTTTCCACATTTGAAGCATTGAGATTTCATCTTGGATTTCAAACCTCAAGCCCGAGATCACAATCATTGATACAGTTTGAGTACCAAGCTATCAACTCGATATAYTTACGAAAAAGCCTTCAATGTAGTGATGAAATGTTGATAAATAATCAATCCTATTTATTTTTGTTTTCGCCTGAGCACCTGAGGCTAGCACCTTAGCACCTTAGGAATCTTGTGACCAGCTTCCAAATACTGTGATAAGGATTTTACCGTGAAAAATCCAAAGTTGAGGTTCCAACTAATCCTGTCCAGCCGGTTGGATAATGTACCAGAGTGAAGCAAATCAAGTAGAGAGGGAAGCTCAATGATTTCCACTTCTTTGAGTTCCTTATAGCTTCAATATTCCAAGCTAAAGAAATGTTGTCRAACAATCTGAAACTGAGCTGACCGGGTTAGTGCAAACTAGAAAGAGATTGGGAAACCTTACTTTAAAAGGAGAGTTGCCCTTCCAAGTGTCATACCAAAAAGAGATGCAAGTACCAGCTCCAACAACAGAAGAAATATGCTGCTTTGCTAACAGCCAATGCTTTGAAATATTAACCCAAGGACACCAAAAACATCTGTTGGATGGAGGAAGMGATTGCCAATTGAAAGAATCTGTATTTTTGAACCACAAGAAGAAGCAAGTTTATATTTTGAAGATTGTTCACAGCCTTCCAACTCCATTGAGGACGAGTTTAGTTTTAAGAGGGAAGGAAACTAATGTAATTACCCGCCCGTTGGTTTTATTAGTTATTAGTTAAAGGCTGAAGTTAGTTGGTTAGCTGTTTAGTTCTTGTTAAATGTCAGTAGCCCTCTTCTATAGAAGGGGCAATGTTCTCCCTGATGTGGTTGGACCTTCATTAATACAATTCTCTCTCATTTGGTTTACACAATAATGTTTTTAACCAGAAACATCTTTTCATCTAGGAAGGTTACCTGTTGCAGCTTTAAGATAACCCCACACTTGTCAATAATAGGCAAGATATTAATGTATGTTCCATGGGAAGATTTATCAGTATCTTTGCCAAAAATTTGATTCCAGCTGTAATCACCRTCAACCAAAAATGCAGAGACATCACTTAAAACCACATCAAAATGTAAATACATATCCAACTCCTGCGGAGACACGTTGTCATGGTCATCCTGCAGACATTAAAACCATATATAAGACCAATAATCAAAAGGTGCATGTATGAAATTTGCCTACTGAAATAGTACGTGGCTTGGAAAATAGAGGAGGATTACTTTGCATGCTAAATAATCAATGAATTAAAGTCAATAGATGCTACCAATGTCATGAAGTACTACAAAATATTGCATTTATGAATACCATTGGAAACATATCAAACAGAGATTTTAAAGCTTATTTCTACTAAATTTTATCTGAGGAATGGAGTTCATTTTCATAGTTGCATTAAGTTCATTTGGAGTGATGATTTCAAGTTCTAAACATTTTGGCATGTTGGCCCTCCTTTAAATCCACATTCCATGTTTCTCACTCAATCATAATAATGCAATCTTGCACAAGGTTTTAAGATGAATGTAATCTGTCTTTATTAATAAGGAGCAGAAACCTATTTATAGAGGTTTCTGAAATAACAAACNCAATCTTGCACAAGGTTTTAAGATGAATGTAATCTGTCTTTATTAATAAGGAGCAGAAACCTATTTATAGAGGTTTCTGAAATAACAAACTAACAKTAACTTSAAGTTACTGTGCAGTAAAAGGAAAAATACAAATGATCATAACCTRCRGCCACGTTTACAACYTTATAACTCAAAYAAAGACRTCTATGACTACATCAATTTCCCCTACCCAAAAAAAACAACTCGTCCTCGAGTTATTGAGCCAAGGAAAAGTCATCTGGAGCATGATAGGAATAGATGTCTGCCACGTTAAAGATCGGACTGATGTTGATGTTGTAATATGCAGGAAGTTGGATTTTGTATGCATTAGTTCCATATATTTCAAGCACCGTAAAAGGACCAAGTTTTCTTTTCTTAAATGAATCATGACAAGATCCCCAATTTGAAATTCTTTTAGCCGTCTCTTCTTGTCTGCCGTTTCTTTGTATTTCGCATTTGAAGCTTCTCTGTGGCTGYGGACTTCTTCATGGAGCGCCATAATTCGAGTTGCCATTTCTTCAGCTTCTAAACTGAAATCAATAGTAGAAGGGAGATTAGCCAGATCTATAGTTAATCGAGGTAGTTTAGTATATACAACCTCAAACGGAGACTTCCCTGTCGTACGATTCCTCATATGATTGTAAGCAAACTCCGCTTGAGCTAATGACAAATCTCATTGTTTTGGATGGTCACCACTAATACATCGTAGTAAGTTGCCCAAAGAACGGTTTGTTACTTCTGTTTGGCCATCCGTCTGAGGATGACTAGTTGTACTAAACTTTAGTGTGGAATCAAACTTCTTCCATAAGGTACACCATAAATGGCTAAGGAATTTTACATCACGATCCGAAACGATTGATTTAGGGATACCATGAAGGCGAACTACTTTGCGGAAGAATAAGGTAGCGATAAAAACCGCATCGGATGTCTTTTTACAGGCCAAAAAATGAGCCATTTTGCTGAATATATCATCAACAACCATAATTGAATCAAATCCTCTTTGAGTTCGAGGTAGACCAAGTATAAAATCCATAGATAAATCTTCCCAAATGTTGTTGGGGATTGGGAGAGGTGTATATAGTCCTGTATTTTGAGTBGTGCCTTTGTATGTTTGACACACAAGCATCGGTTAACGTAGTTGGCGACATCCTTTCTGAGTTGTGRCCAAAAGAAGCGTGCAGTGACTATTTCGGTAGTTTTATCGCGGCCTAGGTGGCCTGCTAGACCACCAGCATGTACATCTTTTATAATAGCCTCTCTAAGGGAAGTGTGGAGAATGCATAGGGCATTGCCCTTAAATAAGTAGTCATCCACAATATGGAAGTCAGTAATAGTTGTATGGTGAGTACACTGWTGCCATATGTCCTGAAAATCTRGATCATTGGCATAGGTATCGGGAAGATGTTCAAAAGCTATAATTTCACCCTTTAGAAGAGTTAGRAGGCTGCTTTTCCGACTCAGGGCATCAGCTGCCTTGTTAGTAACCCCTGATTTATGCTTTATTACGAAATCAAATCGTTTTAGGAATGAAAGCCATCGAGCGTGCATTCTACTTATTGTCTTTTGTGTATGTAGAAACTTTAAAGAAAAATGATCAATAAACAATACAAACTCTTTGCTCAAAAGGTAGTATTCCCATTGTTTCAAGGCTCTAACTAATGCATATAACTCTTGTTCATAAGTGCTCCATTTTTGCCTAGAAGGGCTTAATTTTTCGCTAAAAAATTCGATGGGGTGGTTTTGTTGGGATAGAACAGCACCAATTCTTAGGCCTGMAGCGTCTACTGCCACTTCAAAGGGTTGCTCAAAGTTTGGTAAAGCAAGGACAGGGCTGTGGCTTAACTTGTTTTTTATAAGTTGAAAACTGTCAGATTGGGCTYGACTCCATACAAACTGACCCTTTTTTAAACAACTAGTCAGAGGGGCTACAAGGGAACTAAAGTTCTTAATAAATTTTCGATAAAAGGATGCAAGACCAAGAAAACTTTGAATATCTCGACTGTTTTAGGTTCATTCCAGTTCATAATAGCTGTAATTTTATTAGGATCCATTTTTACTTCATTATGTCCTATGATAAATCCTAAGAAGGAGATTTCAGTAGCTAGAAARAGACACTTCTTAAGATTAATGACTWACTGATTAGAAGCTAAAACAGAAAAAACCTTATGCAGATGATCCATATGGTCAGACATGCATTTGCTATATATAAGKATGTCATCAAARTATACWACCACAAACTTATTAATAAAAGGAAGTAAAACCTGGTTCATGAGCCGCATGAAAGTGCTTGGGGCATTGGAGAGACCAAAAGGCATGACAAGCCATWCGAAMAAGCCCTCATTTGTTTTAAAAGCGGTCTTCCATTCGTCCCCTGGGCGGATGCGAATCTGATGGTAGCCACTTTTAAGGTCTACTTTAGAAAACAAGATAGCACCACCGAGTTGGTCAAGCAAATC